CCTGCATTATTACCTGGAGGCAAATCTCCCAGAAATTGTCACAATATAGATATCAGTCTGCAATATAGATATCAGGGTCAGGCTGGATCTTATTTTCTATAGTATATTTCTGCCGCCTTCTAAAAACTATCCTGATCAAAGCTACTGCTTGGCAATATTTTGTGGCTCAACTTGTTCGTAAAGCGAAACGTCGATGTTTCGATACGCGCTCTACACATGCTTACGCTGCAAGCGTTAACGAGTGCAGACCAATTCTAAGCTGCGAGTGTCGTATAATTGGGATGGGCATTGTAATTTGTTGCCATTTTCGCAAATTTGGGACTCAATAGCTCGCAAAAGCTCTTTTTCCAATCAAATCCCGTGCATCGGAAGCTTTTCCACTCTCGTTTGCGTGAGACCTGGTCCTGTTATTGGATCGCGTCACCATGGGCCAGTGCTAGAAATTCGCGACGAGAGGTTACCATGCCGCAAAGCTCAGCAAGGTCGCGGCGCGCGAGGCCGGTGAGGACGCGACTACGGAGGGAGAGAGTCCGACATTATCAGCCTGCCCATCGGGCCACTCGACACCAGAGCCTGAAGCCGAGCTGCTGGAGCTGTCACACGAGCTGCACGTCCACAACTGCGACGTCACGTTCATCTCTAAGACGTATACGAAGCCTGTCACTCCGAACCGTCTGCCCGTGCTGCCCGATGGCAGCACCACTCGGGTGGGCCTGCCAGACGGCTGAAGTTTCGGAGGCGTCGCGATCATCACCAAATCGAGTCAGGCATCATCTGCTTCGAAGACATTTACTCAGCGGAGTCCGGACAGCAGGCTCGAGCCGCTCTGGTCGCCGCTCAAGCTGGACCAGCGCCGTCACATGATTGTGTGCTCCTTGTACCGCCACCGCGTCACGCTAGCGGCACTGCAAGCCGACTTCACCCCCCTGGAGGTGCAGTACCAGCGAGTGCTCAGTGACTGCCCATCGGCCCCTATTGTGGTATGTGCTTATTAAAACTTAAGCCTCTTGAAGAACCCGAGTGATCCTGCGCGTCGGCAACTGGAGGAGTTTTTCTGGCCGACTTTTCTCTTCTCCAGTTGGTGACGACTCTGACTTTCACTTGTAGCTCAATGTTGACTGTTTGTGGTGTCAATCGTAATATTGTGAGTAGATGTCAAACTCGCACTTGCCATTTCAGTCTTCGTTCACGTCCGTCTTCGTGTTCTACGGCACCGTCGTAAATCCTCCGCAGTGAGAACTCGGTGCTTAAGGCGCGTTGACCCACAAAGTTTGCGGCTCAGGCTTTGCCATGCGGAGTGGGGGTGGGGGGGGGGGGGGGGGGGGTGGGGGAGGGGCTGTTTGTAATTCATCGAGTGTGACGGACATGTGGGATGTTTTCTTGTCCTGTTTTTATATCTATCGTTGACAGACGCGCTCCATACTGGACTCTGCCCTCAACCCGATCGCGCCTCCTGTATCCATGACTACAAGAGAGCTCATGGCCAGCCGCCGTATGGCTCTTCGCGAACCAGGACGGAAGGCCGAGAAATATCGAGACCTGGACCGATCCTTAATGCTCGCATTTGCCACGACTCGCGGAACGACAGTTGGCAACGCGGATATGAGCGGGGCCCGACGACGGTGCGGTGGAACGTGCGTTCATGATCGGCGATAGAAAGGGCGAACACAGGGCGGTGCCGACGATGTTTGCCGACGAGCTCAACAAATTCTTCGTTGCAGTCGGGCCCAAGGTGGCCGCTCAGCTTGCTGCCCAGGGACCGACCGTCGACCTTGAGTGCCACCTCCTCGAGTCGGGAGGGGGCGGGCTGTCACTAGGTGCCTCCCAGGGACCGCGGGGAGACGACCATTCGCTGACGCAATCAGCGTCAGCAAATGGTCGTCTCCTGGTCAATGATCTAATGGTCGTTAGCGGCACTCGTCAGGAAAAGCTGATTGCGTTTCCTGCGATCGGTGACGGTGTCTGTACGAAGGCCGGGGTGCGACGCCGTCAGCACCTCGGCTTTCGATCGAGGAATCAACCGCGTTTTCACGCCACACGCGGTCTTAGGCATGCGCAGCTTAGCCGCCAGCGGTGCTGACGGCGTCTGCATCCGTGTACGAAAGGCTATGTTTCCTGCGATTGGTGACGTCATCCCCCACATCGTCAATTCCTGCACAGCCCACTCTGATATCCCTGATCCATGGAAACATTTCCCTGTCCATTCCATCCATAACTTCGGGGATTCATCCGACCCTTCCAACTTAAGGCCTATATCACTCGTCCCGATCATCCCCAACATAGTGGAGCGAGTCGTCCAACGACAGCTCCAGTACTACCCCTTCCACAATCATCTCCTTCCCGTTCTCGTCATGCGGCGGAAACCGTGCTGATTTCTGTTTCCAATCGTATTCTTGCCGCCACCGATAGAGCAGAGGTTTCGCTGTTGTGCTCAGTTGACATCAGTCAAGTATTTGACGTGTTTGACCACGATTTACTAATTCGTGAATTTTAAATGCACGGCACTGAGACCTGGGTCACGGCCTATCTTCGAAAGCACATCCAGAGTGTGCCTCTCTGCGATGGGTCGGGATGCAGGGTGACCTCTCTGTCGCTTCTCAACTACATAAGTGTCTTTCAGGGTTCGGCTCTTGAACCACTGGCCTTTACCATTTTCTCCAACGACCTTGCATTATTTGTAGCTGATGTCGAATTTTTTGTGTTGACAATATCCAGGTCTTGGTGAGCGACGTGGAGGACGACCTCTGTGGCCTCATCTCCTGCATGGAAAACTCCCTCGAATCGTTGGGTCGATGGTTTCGGGCAGCCTCAAATATTTCGGTCAGCGTTCTCGGTGCCACGCTAAAACCACGCAAGACAGCGAAGAACCTGGGTGTCACATTCGAACGGGTCACGTCATGGGACGCACCTGTGTCACTGCTGACCCGCCGTTGTAACGGCATCCTAGCCGACCTGTCGCATGCGTGTCACGGCATTTCGGAGGCTGTCATTACCGCTTCGGCCACCGTGCTGGTTTTCTCGCATCTCCGATGCTGTCTTTCAGCCTACGGTTACGATTAAAAAAATATTTGGGCGGGACTCTAAAGATTCTGAACTTTGCTGCAAGAGTCACTTTCGGCCGTTGCAAATTTGCCGACGCCTCGGACCTGCGGGAGAAGCTAGGGTGGCTTACTGCACGACAGCTGGTGGACCACAGCCTGCTAACACGTCTGTACGGAGTTTTGACTGATGAACACCCGGGTCCCCTGTCTTCGAGCTATGAATCAACCGCGACAGAGAAGTTGAGGTTGGCCCGGCAGGACAGGCTGCTTCACCTCCCCAGGCCGAGTACTGAGGCCGGCAAGAGGCGCTTGGATACCATGCCCCGGCCACCTACAACTGGCTGGGAGACGAGGTCAAGTCGCTGCCACCCAGGCAGTGCTTCGCCTCTGCTGTGAAGCTATAGCTGCCGGCTGCCGGTCGGGTCTGAATGCATGCCTTAGGATTGCCTCACTTGTATTGTACCTTTATCTTAAGTCGCGTGCGTTGATTTTGCTTTGCGCATAGGTAGTGTATGTATTGGCCTATTATCATGGCTTTGGACAGTAACAGCCACATATTCGTGTGGATTGCCTTACACCAGTACAAATACAAATACAAACATGGTCCGTCCTGCCTTCTGACGTCACCTGACATGTGGGGTGGCAGCTACCACCGAAAAATAGCGGTTCCAGTCTTCACATGACGGCGACCTTAAAACTGACCCGATAACCTGTCAGCTCGGAGGGCCAACAATTTCACTGTTTGGGTGTCGGCAGGAGTTAGCCGCCAGTGGTGACCGATGGGGCCGCGTGCCGAGCAAGCGTTCCCTGGTGCCGTGGCCTAGCTCACACTACGGCTCACACTACGATTCAACGAACCACAATGTTGGCAATGGTGTTTTCTTCTCGGAACAAGGTGTTATAGGATTTCATACCATTTGTGACGAAGGCAGTTCTGCCATAAAGTCTATCGAACAGGTGCTTTGACTGGAAGTGGCTGATAAAAAAGATAAGAGAAGATAAAAAGATGAAAAGATGGGAGATAAAGGGTAAAATATGACAAGATTAAAGAGATTGATTTTATAAGAAGTGCCTGAGTTTTTGAGAGGAAGTTTGAAAAATTTGGCCCTGCGAATCACATAAACCCGGATCCATTTTTGTTCCAGGAAAGTTAAGCTATGCCGCAAGAGCGTATCTGCGTCTGCTGCCGTTTATATTCTTTATACCACTGTTTGAACTATTCGATATTCTTGCATTCATTACACTAACGCCTGGTGCAACGGCTTTGGACTTCCAAATTAATGCATTTTATCAAATTACTGGAATTTTGTTTAACTATAGCAGCTTGAAGTTACCTGAACCAGTGTGCAGCATCCGTATCCAATAAATTTGATTCAAATCTGGCTCGTTCTCGCCGTGGGCTTGCACGGCCCAGATATGCTGCCTGCCCAAGCCTGATCCTCGTATCTGCTACCGACACCGGCCGTGAGAGGCCCGGCGAACAGGCCTGCCTGGGTCTGGTAAGCCGGGCGAGTCGCGCGGGCCTCACCGAGACACCGGCCGTGAGGGGCCTGGCGAACAGGCCTGCCTGGGTCTGGTAAGCCGGGCGAGTCGCGCGGGCCTCACCGAGACATCGGCCGTGAGGGGCCTGGCGAACAGGCCTGCCTGGGTCTGGCAAACCGGGCGAGTCGCGCGGGCCTCACCGACATGCCTAGCCGGGGGAGATGAGTGAGCGTAAGCTCCAATGTGCCCGCTCCACACCCGACGTTAGCGCCCTGACCCTAGTCCCTCGTGCCCCTGACCGCACCCCTACGCGGGCGCACGTGCGGGACGCGCGATCGTTTGTTTTGAGGCAGGCGGGGGAGGCAGAGTCCACGGATAAGGGAGGCCGCGTGCGCGTCCGCGCACGTTCGCTTCGTGCTCTCACCCTGGCGGGGTGCTGTGGTGGACTGGAAAGGGCACGGCGCGTACGTCTCGTATTGGCAACATCACGGTCCGTGGACGCGCGAGGAGGCCGGGATGGGAACGTCCACGGCGGAGGACGCCTCTCGGGAGAAGGTGAGGAATACGGAGGTGACAGGCGCCGCATACTTCCAGGAGCCAATGATCTGTGCCGTACTGGCTGTCTCATGTCCCTCCACCCTTTAGCCCACCCCAGTATAGCAGGAAATAGCGCAGCGTGACGGGCTTCAAAGCCCACTGCGACTGTCACACCCGCGGCTGTCGAGCCCCGATACGGCAAGCTTGTTCACCGCTTTACTGTCGCGGCCACCTAAGGCATCTGGTGTGTCCCCTGTCGGCGTTTATGCCCTGAGGGCATGAAACCCTCTATTCCTTCTATTCTGGGCCGTCTATTCATCTTTCACTGGTTGATGGACCATTGGTCGCGCTGGGAGCTCCCCAAGTAATCACGAAGGTCTTGCTGACCGGTCACCCGCTGCGATCCCGTGGGTGTAGAGTGGGGGTTCCGCACCATTCAGGGCCGCGGAGGCGCGAGGTGCCGATCTCAGCTGACTGATCGGGCGAGGCGGCAGCACTGAGCACACCACTGACCACTGCCATCTTATTATTGGTCGGAGTTTATAGCGGTTGCAGTCACACAGTCAGATGCAGCTTCTTCAGCTGCATGGTTTTCAAGAAACATTGGGCTCAAAGGGCCATGCTTGAACTTAACGACAGCGTCAGTGTCAGAATCCCGACAAGGGCGATTCCGATCGATTGTTGCGCCGTTTGCAAGCCTGCATAATTTTAGTTGACAACTGTTTGCAAGGACTTTCAGCATGTATAGAGCTTCTGTCCGTCAGTAGCGTTCGTGCTTGCATCGCACGATTGACTAGTCGGCTATTGGCGGCACCTAATCGGGCGTTGCGTCTGCTCAGTGTAGCGAGCCTGGAACCAGCGCTCCCTGCTGACAACGACTGTCTGATCATGTCGCTGCCTACGATCTAGCGGTGCCAATTTTTACGAGCTACCCTATATACTTGCATAAAGCGGCAGCTACAACCAGTAAAGTATTTCAATGCCCTTGGCATTGTGACGATTTACTTTCGCCCTGATTTACCGTTTTTCATGATGGGAAGCGTTCGATGTGCCGTGGTCAAACTAAGAAGGATGGAGTCCTGTGGCCAATCCAGTAAATTGGTCTCAGCGAGATCTCGTGATTGGTAGCCAATGTCATGTTTCCAGGTCCATAGTTTGCCTTACAGGACAGTTCATATATAAATTTTCCCTGAAGTTGACCTTTTCAGCTTTGCATATCCATGTTCACGTAACGGTAAAGCTTAGCAGCGTAAAACTTACGCAAAAGTGCTTATTCCTTACTTCTGTGCACAATTATATATATATATATATATATATATATATATATATATATATATGTATGTATATCGTACAGACTGAGCACATGCACAACAGAGCGCAACGTAACGTAACGTAACGGTGCCGGCCACCGGCCGCCAGCGGCGGATCCGTCGGTTGCCGCCAGCCGCCCGCGCTGGCCGTGGATCTCCATGCAGTGCTGCTACAAAAAACCTTGTTGTTCAGAAGTTATTTTGATAAAGAAGCATTTTTCGTGTCAAAACGCAGGCAATGAATAACCCTTTCTGACAAATTTCGGCGCGACTGCACGTCCAGACAGACATCCTCGGAAACTTTTGGGGGGCACATCGTCCTCCCCGTTATCAAGGCGAGGCTTAATGCACGCAGCTGTGAAGTCATATGAAAGTCGATGATCCCATGTCAGGACATGAGTGGGTCAAAGGCAGTTGTGTGTGCTTCCCATGCGACATGCTTCAAAAAGTGAAAAGGGATGAGAAGACCAAATGTTTTCCACCTCAAGACTGGCTGTCGTTTTAAAGAGTACCGGTGCATTTAATGGTATTGGAGCCAGACGTCCAACATTATTTTCCAACTAGTAGCCATTCGTTGGCAAAGGCTCCTCTGCAGATGGCGCTGAAATTATCACGTTTCAAAATGATTCGCAAAGTAGACGGATTTTTACCATGCACGGCGCAGGTCGAGACTTTTAAGGATGTTGGCCTGAGGCGGAGCTATAGTCGGTCCCATGGGCGACGAGTCGAGCTGGCGCCACTTCCGGCGTGGAGCGGGGGCGAGCACCAGCCCGGCCCGGCACGTAACCCATACCGTGCCTGTTTGTTTCAGACGCCCACCCGAGCCGGCACCAGGTCACGCACAATGGCCGACAAGGGCTTCTCACGCCAGCAGTGGGTGACGCTCTTCATCTTCAGTCTGGCCGACTTCTGCTCGGCGGTCTGCGTCTCGCTGCAGGCGCCATTCTACCCACACGAGGTGATGTTACAGACGCGCATGCGCGAACCCAGCCGCAGCGACACACCGCTAAGCCGAAGGCTGTCGGCGGGCACGAAACGATACTCACCGTTGGGCTTCATTAAGCCATGTGAAACGTATTCGTGCCGTTACAATAATAATTGTTAAACTAATGACTTATTTGCCATTTTGAAATTTATATTTTCGTACATTAGCCGGATAATGTTTCGCAATGTGCTTACCGACCTAGCACTGCATGGTAAAATACTCTGAATGAAAAGAGATTATCTGCGCCATTGCGCATGCGCGTCCCGGAAAAAGCGAAAGTTGTAATTAAAAAAGAAAGCAGGAGAGAAAGAGAAAGAGAGAGAGAGAGAGGGGAAGACAGAGAGAGGAAAGAGAGAGAAGGACAGAGAGAAAGAGGGGGAGAAAGAGAGAAAGAAAGAGAGAGAGAGAGAAAAAAAGAGAGAGAGAGAGAGAGAGAGAGAGAGAGAGAGAGAGAGAGAGAGAGAGAGAGAAAAAAAAATTTATTTCAAACGGCCAGCGCCAACCTATTCTGAAATCGAATGTCCGTTCCTGGTTGGTGGATGCAGGGTGTCAACAAGGCTCTGCTTACCGATGGTTCTGAACTCACATGCTCGCTTTTCAAACCATTTGCGAATTTTTTTTATTTCCAAATGAATTCAGTTAAAAACTTCAATAAATCGCGGTACGTTTCCTTAAGGTAGCCATGTTATGATACACCCGCTACTCGCTAGTCGCTACTGACTCTGCATCAATATATATATATATATATATATATATATATATATATATATATATTGTGATGAACGGAGAGCCATTTAGCACGTTCTTAGAGCACATTCTCGGCGTGAAATTAGTTCTGCAAGCGTATCTTATGTTTTCAATTGACATAATGCTCTTTTTTACAGGCGGAGAAAAAAGGCGCCACCGCAACACAATATGGATTCGTGTTCGGCATATTTGAGCTCACAGTATTTCTAGTCAGCCCATTGTACGGAAAATATGTAAGTATATTGAAACCGAATGCATTTGACGATCTGGTTTCACTGATTTCCAGAAAGGCACAATCGATTCATAAATGCTATGCAAGTATCTTACCAATCCAATGATGTCGCACGCACTGCCTCAGAAATTTACACGACCCGTGCCCCGAAAATCAGTGAAGTTGTACCGTTGCGGTTGCATGGAGACGCCTTTCAATGGGCCGATGGCATTCGTCATTCAAGGAACAACGAAGGTGCTATCCTTCCCGTCCGAGACTTCCAACGGGCTTTTGTCAATACATCCACTATCTCGCCGCAGCAATCACGTTCTTATGTTTGTCTCCTATTATTTGCGGGACTGGTTTGTAACGTACTAGACATTCTAACCACAAGTTCTTTGCGGAAATTGAGGATGCGTTCTGAAGCACCGACAGCTTCAATTTTTCTCAACGTTATTCCATATTGCTAAACAACCACTAGAATTGCTATACCTCAAACCGCGATGCGCACTTCTCATGACATCTTCATTTAGCGTCGCTCGTTTGCAGTTGGCTGCCGGCGGGCTCTAACCAGAGTGTGACGTCGGGGAGCGTGTTGGGCCCGTGTTCGGGCCCGTGCCCCCCCCCCCCCCCTCCAGCGCGTATCCCCGCTACTCAGCACACTTCCGTAGATCATTGGCTCGTTCCTCCACACTGCACCCCTGCAAATCAAGGACCGCATCACTCACACTGCCCAACGCTTCTGCGCCGCACAGAACAAGTGTGATGCTTTGTTGTTCTCGTGGTCCGGTGTGCTTTTCCTATGCGGGATTTCCGCACAACCGCCTGTCCTGTTGCACTACGGTGTACATCAACTTGCGCCACTGCGTGCTCGGTCTACGCTGCTCCTGAGCTAGTTATCTCATAGCTCTCCTCGCCACACGTGCCATTATATCTAGATATCTAAAATATCTGATATAAAACGCCTTCTCACCTTGCTCTCCTGTGATGACCCGTGAACGTAGTCATGTGGTTTCATCAGGGGTACTGAAGGTGGCGATAACATTGGCTACAATAATCTGGCTGGGATGTCAATCACGTTTGATGTGAAGCGATAAAATCATCGCACATTGTTGATCGTCCATCGACACGTTTTGCTCCCATATGGTCATTAACGTCAAAAAGCTGGTAGGCTGGCAGTCGCGACGGCGCCGGCAGCCTGTGTGCACAGTGCGCTTAAATCAAACGCTTATCGGGACCTCCACACATAATTAGTGCGGTATTGATCACGGCACTTACATGCGGGTAAAATCAAAGTAGGCTGCACGGCGTGAGCGACGCTAGTCGACCTAAGGCATCATGAGTCATGTTTGTTCTAGTGCCTCGCAGCCAATGACGTCCAATCAATTTGAAAAAAACCTTCTGGACGAGAATAGCAGACAGGGCTTTGATGAAAGTGTGAGAGTATCATCCCACGAGGCCCGTTGCATCACGGTAGCATACGTATGAGGTACACCTCTGCCCTCCGCCTCATTGCCAGTCAATGCTATCACCCCACACACTTGTCCTCAAGACCTGGCAACGCACGATGCCCTTGGATGCATGCATAGCATGTATCTTGAAAACGATTTTGTTCCCTCACCCGTTTCTTGGGACGTTGCTATGCTCCTGCTCGGTAGCAGTGTCTTGACACCATGTATACCTGTATGCTCTTTCTCAACGCTCTATCAGCGGCCACTTGATGACAACACCACGAGGGCATCTAAATTAGCTCAGGGGTGGATCGGTACACTTTTATTTTTGCATTTTTTCATGAATATTTTTGATCAAACGCATTTTGAAACGATGGCGCTTTCGTTTCAACATGTTCTAATCTGTCTGGTTATTTTCTTCCCTGCTGTACATCTGGGTCACAAAGCGATAACATTACTACTGCGTTACAACATTCTGACCATTATAGAAACGTCCCTGTCACCTTTGTATCCCTCTTAATGCCATCAAGTTTGTGTTTGCGCAACTTGTTCTCTTGTCCGCAGTTGAACAGGATAGGACCGAAGTTTGTGTTCAACGCCGGCATATTCACAACGGCTTCCTGTTCTATATTGTTCGGGTGAGTCTGTATGTATACGGATTGATGCATTGTGCAATGCTTGACGCAAGCAAGCAAGGTCTTGCGCTTCTGATTTTTCGCCATGGTAAGTTTAGGGGATGCGGCCATGACGTTTGCGCGTCTTGCAGTATTCGCTTGGACGCTCATGCGTTGTCTTCATCGGTGCGCTCCTATGCAACGTAATTGAATCCGACCTAAAGCCTTGATCAAATGCATGCCATTTTCTTTTAAAATGTCTTGGTAGTGTGTGAACCTTTTATCCGTGACTACAACCATCTGAAATGTATTTGTGAGAAATCAACGCAACGCAACTATGACTCCAGGCATCAATGATCAGCGTTGTTCGGCGCAAATTTGGACGACGTTATGCTTTGCGCCAAGCTTTGGATTTAGCATGTGCAGATGATTCACGGTTTCATCTGTTGATAAATTGCCTTCAAACGTGCGCAGTGCCAGAGTGTGACCCGAGGTCTGTTCCCTGACCTTTGGGTGCTTGGGCTCAATAGGAAGGTTTTGTTGCACTGAGGAAAAGCAGACTGGGCCCACAAATATAAATTTTGTAAGCTAACCTAGCACGGTGTTTTTCATTATGACATGCTCGTAACATGCAAACATTATGTTTTCAGGTTTTTAGATAAAGTTTATGACACGGAACTTTTCATAGGATTGAGTTTTGCCATACGGATAGTAGAAGCTATGGGAAATGCTGGTTTTCTCACAGCAAGTTTTGCAATCATCGCCAAAGAATTCCCCGACAACGTAGCAACCACATTCGTGAGTAATAGCTTTGCTATAAACCGCCGTCGAGTATTGCACACACTCACTTTCTTCGAACTATTTAGGGTGGAGTGCTGTTAAAATATTGCTTATAAATGCATGCACGTGTTAACGACGTTTTCAAAGGAGTACCGATGCCCTGATGTGTGCACAATTGAGTGCTATCTATGAGCGGCATTGTGCACTCAGCGCATAGGATGTCCTGTAGGTTTTTTCACGGCTCATTGCTGTGCATGCATAACACCTAAATCGCGCCTATGACAATATAGTCAACACGGCGCGGCTGCCAAGCCCGTGGACTCCATGCCTGGTAAATATTCACGTCGCCCATTCTCGGTACATCGATAAATTACCCAATGATTTTATTTATATCAAATGTATGGTAGCTATATTGAAGATACAGCTTCCCGGTGTTTTCCCTGACAACGTAAGTTCCGACGCATCTAACTGTATCATTCATGTCCTCGCAGGCTTCGCTAGAAACGTTCTTCGGGATCGGCCTAATCGTTGGGCCAACGGTCGGAGGCGCTCTATATCAGGTGAGTTTGCGCCGCCCGTAACGCCACCACTTCAAGAGTTCCCCCAAAACCTCCACCGCGGTCGGGCCGACGGTCGGAGGCGCTCTGTATCAGGTGAGTTTGCCCTGCCCGTGACGCCACCACTCCAAGAGTTCCCCCAAAACCTCCACCGCGGCCGGGCCGACGGTCGGAGGCGCTCTATATCAGGTGAGTTTGCCCTGCCCGTGACGCCACCGCTTAAGAGTTTCCCCAAAACCTCCACCGCGGTCGAACCATCGGTCGGGGGCGCTCTTTATCAGGTGAGTTTGCCCTGTCCCTATCGCCACCACTCTAGGCGTTCCCTCAGCACCGCAGCGCGCAGTGCTGCAACGCGATTTTCCGCCTTTTTCCGATGGCGCAATCGCTGTGTGCCGCAGTGCAGGCGTACACTGCGGGACAGTATGCCCGGTTTGATTCCGGCGGCGGCTGCTCCGCGCCCGACGGTGTGGAGAGAGCTCCTGCAGCAGGGCTGGGCCGCAGGCAGGGCTTTCCATCAGGTGTGCGTACCGAGAAAAGTTGCGCAAGAGCCTGTATGAAGTTATGTCATGTATGCACGCGATACAGCATCTTTAAGTTTGTGTATGCATACCATACATCTACATGCAGCACGGAGAACGCCAGCTTTACGCGTACCGCAGTTCTCCGGTGCCTTAAGCGCTTCTTCTTTATGGATGCCAATCGTCTAGCTTTCGTCCATATCACTCATCATCACCCAACAATGAGAGACTGTTTTGACAACTGACGTGAGCGCGGAAGATGGGCGCATCACCCACCTGGCGCGTGTCAACGATGCTCGGTTGGCGCGCTACATGCGCATCATCAGCGCTCGACTGCTCTCGGCGCTCACTAGGAGACAGCTGCCTGTAGGAATACCGCTTGGACGGAGCGCGGAGACGTGCCGGACATGCTGACGAGCGGGAGCGTCTTGGGTCTCAAGTTCCTTTGGTGGACATGGATGTGACATCTGCTACATCCTTCACACAAACGTGTACACAAATGCTGATTGCTCACTCTCAGGACGTCTAGAAAACGTATCACAAACTAAGCACATTCGTGGATTCTAAAAATACCTCCGTATCAAAACGTGCATCATGCGCACGGCTGGATATTGCACGGCATTCAAGTCGGTGGACGGTCCATCGCCACAAAGTCCGAGCGTTCGGCTGCAGCCCAGGCAATAACTAAATCGTGCTTGAGACAACATTCGCGTACAAATTGCCTAAGTCGTTTTTTAGGTTTTAAAGCAACTAGATGCAGGCGCCCTATAGGAAAGGCAAAACATGATAAGAGCAACAACACGGTAGACATGTATGGACGTAATAGAGCGGCCATAGATGGAGCTCCATAAACTTAACCGCGGGGAATGTGTGTGGAGAGGGGCAAGGAGCACATTGCCAACGTAGCACGGTTTTACTGTTTTTAGAGCTTGCTGGCGACTTTCTGAGGATTTGGGCCTGACATTGGCTATTGGGGTAGGGAAACATGGGAGCATGGGCGTGGCCACCAATGGGGTCGGCACAGTCCAGGCCCCAGTGGCTTCAGCGCAGATTGTCAGTTGTTTGATTTCACCCATGCAGAAACAAATCAAAGCAGGCTCAGACCGAAGGAACTATGAACGTGCAACTCACACTCCGGCATATGGAAGCTTCACCAAAAAGAGTGCCAAAAGGCTCCATGACCCACAGCTCCACAGCCAGCTGAGAAACATGGGTGCAGGAAACGACCGCTAGTGCCATTGGTCGTAAGCTTAAAGATACACCAATTTAAAAAGAGAGATGAAAACGATCATTACAAAGCTACCACGTTAGGCTGCGATGTCTAGTGTAACCAGACCAATCACCACATCAGTCGAACAGACGTGAGGAGAGGGGATAGTTGCATCACGGCCACAGACCACAATTTACCACGAGCTAAGTTCTCCAAATTTAATCTGCCTAGAATCTTGTGCTAATCTCAACAAGGGAATGAATGGTAGAGTGCTAGTACTGGAAACGACCAGTTGACATCGTTTTCGCAACATAACCCTAGCTCACTAGACTCCCATCCCATCCGTTCATTAACGCATACGTTTACGCAGCGAGCGCCTCCTCCCCAGCCCTCCGCACCAGACTCCGGTCCCTCCTGACCTCTATTGTTGCCGTAGACCTGCGTGCATGAACCCAAGCTCAGTTCTTGTAATCTGACTCTGGCCCCGTAGTTCTGCTCACGCCTCTCAATTTCATGCATGTGACGCCGCACGCTTCGGCTCCTCGCCCCCCCCCCCTCCCGGGCCTCTCTCGCACCCAGGACCTGTTACCCGCCCCCCTCCCCCGCCCGCTGCAGCGCCGCCGGTAGCACGCGCCATTCCCGCTCCGTGGGCGTGCGCGGCGCCGGCCTGACCACGCACACCTCTGGGGGCCGGGCGATCCGTGACGAACCGCGTCGGCGGGTTTCGGACAGCCCCGGCACCCCGCAGCCTCAGGGCCCCTGGAGTGCGAGGTCTCCTTGCCTCGGGGATCCACTAAGATTCCGTGAGCCTACTCAGAGCCGACAAATCCTGTCGGGCCTCCTCAGAACTCCTGAATCCAGGCTGGAGCCTCTTCGGCAGCCCATGGTCACCGTACCGCACAGCTGCATGGTGTCCCTGCGCCGTTTCTAGCTGACGCTGCTGCGTTTCAAGCGGCGCCTCGTTGTTTATTTTTCAGGATCGTCGTTTGCTGTCTAGCTTCCCGTGCATTTGAATATTTGCCCGGGGCTTTTCACGCCCATTCATTGCTGCCATAGGTTTAGTGTTCATAAGTTCGTACTAGATTTGGGGCTGACGGGGTACCGTTCAGAGCGGTAAGCCACGCTAGCCACAGCGACAGCTTGTCCATCAGGCCGGGCATCGCAGGAACTGCGCAGCTGAACAAAGTTGCATGCATGAGGAGAGTGTACTGTAGGTATTTGAATTGGTTTGCTCCTCGGAAGGGTTTTCTCCACTGATGTCAAGTGATCCTCTGATGTATACACAAATATATATATATATATATATATATATATATATATATATATATATATATATATATATACATATATATATATATATATATATATATATATATATATATATATATATATATATATATATATATATATATATGAATATATACATATATAGAAGCGGCACCAAATTTTCAGTCATCCATAACCGATCTAGGATGACATCATAATCATCATGTGCCCCCCCCCCCCCAGACTAGTGTTAGGCAATTTAATCCATTGGCTGGTGCGGCGCCGTGCTTTGTGCAGAAACCAGATGGCTGAATGTTTGGAATGACAAGGCAGTGTCGCAGTGTCGTCGCCTCTTTTTTCGTCATGACAGGGCTGGTCAGTATTTTCCCACGCATCAATATGTCGCCAACAAAGACTTGGCACAACGACAAGACTGTTTTGCGCCGGCTAAAACCCTGCCGATATGACATACGTGTCGATTCGACCCGCCTCACAGTCCTAAAAGCAGGGCAATCTGCCTGCAACTGGAGCGCGTACGCGCTCGCCCCAGTTTCAGCAAAGCTGAACATGCTTTAGAGTGCTCGCTGCTGACTGCGCACAGCCGGCTGCTAACTGGGACTGCGCAGAGCCGGCCGCTAACTGGGACGCTGCCCGCTTTGCAGGTCGGTGGATACACTCTGCCTTTCGTCAGCCTCGGCGGCGTGCTGTTCTTCACGGCCATTCTGACGTTCATCGTCCTACCGAAGCACGACGACCACTCGTGCAAGGACGGCAAGGGCGGTGAGCGCGCTGCCAGAGCCGTGCTCGGCGCGCCCAGGGTGGCGCGAGGACGCCAGCCTCAGGCTCAGTGCGAGTTTGTACCCAGGCACATTGTGCGCTGGCGTTGGGGGATCTCGAGACGGTTCATAACAAGGGGTCTCAAACAGCTGTAACTAAGTGTGCGTTTACTGAGATGACGGAGTTGCTGGTCTTGAGTTCAGTAGATTTGGGTGGCGTGGTGTCGTTGATTTGGGTCGTCACATAAATATGATATGCGTAGGCTTAGGTATATCCACATGCCAATGAGTTACATGTCCGCTGCTCCCTTTCAGTTTGTATCCACCTTTCGTACTGGTCTGAACGGATCCCAAACGATGCGCAAAGAAAGTTATGAGCACTGCGTATGATTACATGATAATTGATTTATGGGTTGTACATGGATACACTTAAAGTATCCACTTATCACCAGCTATATCGTCTACTGGTTCATTTAAGTATGCATATATCTTCCCCACTGTGTGCTTGTATCCCAGTCTAGGGCGACGACCCCCAACCACCAACTGGAGCCTTTAATCAACTGCGCCCCAGTTAAAAAAAGGAACATGCGGGCCCAGTCATGCACATCAAGTGCGCATGTGGTTTTACCGTGCGTAACGTAGCAGAAAATAAGCGAAAGGGACGAATTTGGGAGGTCGAGGGCAAGAGGCCCTGGACTGGCCAAGAGGACGCGGGGTCTCTGGTGCGCCTCTGGTCCCTACTCGCGTGGATTTATCGCATAAGCCGATCCATATTGTGCGCGCCCCCGTTCAGGCACGAAGTGATCTACAAAATAACATTTCTTTAGAATTTAACACCAATGTAACTTTATCACCGTGTTTTCAAAGAGCGACGTGTGTCCGGCTCTGGAAGGCACCGCTTCCAGAACCAGCGGTGCTCTGGAAAGCACCGCTCGGTATTCCCGTGAACGTTGTCTACCGGAGCGTTGATGGCTGACAGGAGCGTCGGAAGCGTCGGAATGCGTGACATGTTAAGCCCCGAGACGAGGCAGAACACCGCTCCCCAATCATCGTCCCGAAACATGGGCACTAATGGCACGCGTCGTGGCGTCTCGCCGAACCTCGCCGACAGCCAGCTGGTCTCTGTTTTATGTCCTGCCGCCTTTGGACCACTTGTATGCTAACATGCTAGTGTTAAAGACGCCCACATGGCCGTATAATGGTGAAAAGTGTGAGGAAGTAGCCGCACTGTCCCTGTTTGGCGGGCCAGCGCAAGATCTTGGGTGGTGTTGAACGGAAAGAGAATATCGAAACACAGTTTTCCCCCACCAGACATCCAAGCTGGTATTATCTGGAAGTAGTTTATGTCAAGCCTGTTGTTTGGGAAATTCCGAAATCGCACGGAATGCAGCCTTTTTGCAGGCGCCACCAGTTGCAACACATCATAAAGGTATCAGAGTTCCTTCATGGTTCAGTTTACAAACTTACTCCATCAAGTATGAGCAAAGGATTTCGTCAGTTTCCTTTCAGCCTGGCCTTAGCTTTCCCTAAATGTTCGTCAGCGAGGGTGCGGTCGGCGATGGGCGGGGGCGAAAGGAAGGCGAGGAAAACCAGCTTTGTTCTAAACAAATGGGCTGTGACTGACATTTGGTGATGAGCCCCTCGCCGAATAAAGCGAACCATGCGGTTGTTTGTTACAGGCGGAGTACGCAAGGCGCTGCGAGTGCCTGGCATTGCTGTGGCGGCATTCTCCATCGTGTCAGCTTCTTCCAGCATCGGATTTATACAGGCCCTAATGGAGCCTCATCTGCGACAGTAGTCTCTC